CTTAAAAAAAAAAAATTATATAAAAGATGTCAGTAATTTCTTCCTTTCCTCCATTCTTGGAGAAACAGTCATTTCCATAGTCTGTAAGGGGCAGCTCTGAAGTCTATCTGACCTTGCCTGTCCCTCTGGCCTTAGCTTATTACTGCACTAGGAATGGATATTTGAATCAACCAATCAGATTATTTCTGGAAATCTGGAACTGAGGCATTCAAAGTTAGCTGATGTGGAACATTTCAAGTGGAAGAAACATTTGGGAGTTAAGGCTGCTATTTTAGGGCCTAAGTTAAATATTACTTTTATTACCAAAATATACTCAATTAAAAAAAAGTGACAGAGGTACAATTTTTTTTTTTTTAAGATTTTATTTATTTGAGAGAGAGAGAATGAGAGAGAGTGCACACATGAGAGAGGGGAGGGTCAGAGGGAGAAGCAGACTCCCTGCTCAGCAGGGAGCCCGATGCGGGACTCGATCCCGGGACTCCAGGACCATGACCTGAGCCGAAGGCAGTCGCTTAACCAACTGAGCCACCCAGGCGCCCCAGTCATTATTTCTTAACTATCTCTAAAATCCATCAACTTTTCTTTCAAATGCCAAAACCTTGGCTTAAAGCACCATTAGCTTTTGGCCTAGACAACTGCAGTAACTTCCTAACAGGTCTCACAGGATTACTTTGGGTTCTGTAATTTATGTGCTACACTGCAGCCAGAATCATCTTTTACAAATATAAATCTTTATCAAATACTTGTTTGCTTAAAAATATGCAATAACTTCCTAATGCCTTTGAAAAAGAAGTCCAAACTTCTAAACATGGCTTCAAGCCATGTAAAAACTAGAGAATGCATGTCTCTCTTTTGCTTTTCTTCCTCAACACTATGCTCCAGCCATGCAGATCATTCTCAACTTTTTTTTTGTTGCCCACTAACTTGCCAGCCTTTCTCAGCCTTTGCATACATTCTTCCCTCTGGCTAATGTCTGGAGATGTGAAACCTTACTTGGCCAGTCTTCCTGACCCTCCTGAGTTGATTCATTAGACAATCTGTTGGGACCCAAATATTTACTGAGAATCTACTATGCATTGGGCACTGTTGTAGAAGGCGAAGATATAATGATAATTAAAGAAAGATGGCCCTTGTCCTCAAAGAACTTAAGTGCAAAGGCTCTGAGAATGAACTTGGCATATTTTGAGGGACAGAGAGAGACAAAGCCACTATGGCTAAGTAGAGTGAAAGAGGGGGAGAATGGAGATAGGTCATGGTAAGAAGCTTGGATGAAGTGTAATGGCAAGACAAATACTTTTTTTTTTTTTTAAGATTTTATTTATTTGACAAAGCGAGAGAGAGAGCGAGAGCGGGAACACAAGCAGGGGGAGTGGGAGAGAGGGAGCCCTGCTTCTCCCTCTCCCACTCCCCCTGCTTGTGTTCCCTCTCTCACTATGTCTCTGTCAAATAAATAAAATCTTTAAAAAAAAAAAAGAAAAAGAAAAAAAAAAATGTCTTTAAAGGCACACACTGTGGATCAAATTCGGAATATGAATAGAGGGACTGGCCTTAAATAAGAGCAGGAATAGTTTCCTCCATAACAAAAGTGAAGGCAGAGTTTTCATCTGACTACATCTATCTTCTTTGAAAAGTACACAGCTTGGCTATAAACCTAGAGTGTGTGTGGAAAGAGAAATGGAGATTTGAGGAAGAGATCATGGAGAATGAGAAAAGAAATTTACTAAGGAAGTATAACAGAACTGACTAGTCATATTTAGTGCCCACTTAAGAGTGTAGTCATGAATGAGAGGGAAGTCTAGTCCGCACAAATTTGTGACTTTCTCCAGTAACCTTCAGCTGCTTGGGTGTAGGTATGGAATATGAATCTAGTTAAGCTGGGAGCCAGGGTTGTGTCAGGTGACTGCAACAAAAGAAAAGAGAGGAAGGAAAGGAGAGTACCAAGATCTGGCCTACAGGCTGGGAAAGTGATGACAAGAGGGAGGTGATGAACAGCAAATAAGAAGTCAAAGGACTGGAAATTTTTTTTTTTAAGTAGGCTCCACACCCAGCATGGAGCCCAACATGGGGCTTGAACTCACAACACTAAGATCAAGACCTAGCCAAGATCAAGAGTTGTACACTCAACTGACTGAGCCACCCAGGCACCCCAGGACTGGAAATCTTAATGAGATCAAGTAATCACTGAAAACAGAACATATAACACTAAGTAAGTTGGAAGGAGTGAAGGATATATGAAATCAAGATTTCAAAGGTGGTACAGTTACTGATGAAGACAAAGTCAAGAGAAGTAGTTCTCAAACTTTAGAATGCATCAGAATCACTTGGAGTCAAAACAGAATGCTGACTCCTATATCCAGAGTTTCTTATTCAGTAAGTCTGGGGTGGGGCCACAAATGGCATTTCCAGCAAGTTCCCACATGATACTGATGATCTAGGGACCTACTTTGAGAACCACTGATCTAGGATAGGACTTCTGTCAGTGATCAAGATGGGGTAAGGGGGCGCCTGGGTGGCTCAGATGGTTAAGCATCTGCCTTCAGCTTGGGTCATGATCCCAGGGTCCTGGGATCGAGCCCCACGTCTGGCTCCTGGCTCAGCAGGGAGCCTGCTTCTCCATCTGCCTCTCCCCCTGCTCGTGCTCTCGCTCTCTATCTCTGTGTCTCGAATGAATAAATAAAATCTTTGGAAAAAAAAAAAGATGAGGTAGGAAAAAAGATCTTTAGAATTAAGATCAGGAATTGAGAAACCAGGTTGTTGAAAGGATCATTTACGAAGATGCTGAAGGCCCTAAGAATGTCCATGAGAGAGAATGAAAGGTAAAAGACAGCTATAGGAAGAGATAATAGGAGGCAAAGTTTGATGTCTTATACTTCAAGAAGCTGGGATTTTTGCAGGATAAAAGGAGACAAAGGGTTGGAAATGGCACTGGGTAACAAGGAGAAAACCTATCCCGTCTCCAGGCTCTCAAGTATTAGGGTATGGGAGAAAACAACTTAAAGAACAGTAGGGCAATCCATAATGGGAGCTTTTCAAAGAAACACTGGCCTTCACTAAATACTAAAGGGACCTAACAACTAAATGCAGTGGGTAAATTTTGGGTCCTAGGTTTAAAAAAAAAAAAAATATGGACTTTACACTAGAATTATATATGGAAATACTGTTAAAATTGTTAGGGGTGATCACTGTTATGTAGGAAAATTTCCATATATTTGGAGATTCAGGCTGAAGTGTTTTAGGTGAAATATCATGATACCTGCAATTTCAAACAGTTGCTGTAAAAAAGAAAAGTGCATGCGTGCATGTGTGGAGTCTGCGAAGATGGCCTCCAATGAACTACGCAGTATTCTTACTTACTGTCGGTATTTGTACTCTTGTGTAGTCACCCCCAGAGTGAATCTAGGTAGATTCTCACCGTGAGTGCTCTTTAAGCAACAAAATGGGGTGGAATTGATTCTATGCTAATTCTGAGGCTAAACATTACATTAAGGAGGCCTGGCAGCTTCTTCCCCTTTTGTGCTCTGGGAGCCCTGAGCTGTCATGTAAGAAGCTGACTACCTTGCTGGAAAGAGCACATGGAGAGGGAGAGGCCCTGAGATTGTGGAGAGGGGGAGGGGAAGGAAAGAATGGAGAGGACATCCAGCCACCCCAGTGGACCTGTCTAGCCAACATCACCAAGGTGCCTGGAAGAGCCATCTTGGATGTTACAACCTAGTTACAACCAGTCAATCCACAGCGTTATAAGATACTAAAATGTTTTAAGATACTAATTTTGGGTAACTGCTGTACAACTATATACACAGACACACACAGTGAGGGGAGAAAGCAAATGTGACAAACTGTTAAATAATGAATCTATTTAATTTCTCTCTGGATTTGAACATTTTCAAAATAGAAGATTTATGGTAGACTCTGATCATATTTGATCATTCCTTAGTTTTATTGTTAATTTTTAAAAGTATGATAGTGGGATTGAGGCTATGTTTTTTAAAAAAGAATTCTTTTAAAGGTACTGAAATCTTTACTGAGGAAATTATCTAATATCTGGGATTTACTTCTAAATAATCTAGGGGATGGGGTGGAGAAGGAAGATGGGATATATATGAAACAAGATAGTCTTTTTTTGATAATTATTGTTGATAATGGGTACAAGGGGGAAGATTCATTACACACATCTCTCTACTTTTTTCCTTGCTCCATATTTTCTGTAAAAAAGAAATATTGCAGCAGAAGCAATGTCTTTGGGTTTCAGTTACAGTAAGAAGGTGAATGGAACAGTGACATTAAAGAAACAAACACAAAAAAAGGCTTGCATCCAATTGGGGAAGATAGTAGCTAGAGAATATTTTATTTAAAAAGGCTATAAAGTACTTACTAATAAGTTTGCTCTCCCCAAAGCTGCTATATGGTTGTAAACCATTGTGGTTATTAATGATTTTGATAACTCAGTGTTCTCCCCCACTGATGTAGAGAATCTAGAACTAATTGTACATAAGAATAACTTCCTTTGTTAATTTTAGGGAGATGTAGGATTGAGCAAAGATGTGAAAGGAAGAGCTGAAAGCAGGAATTATTGGCAAAAGGCAAAAGCACTAATATTGGGGCGCCTGGGTGGCTCAGTTGGTTAAGCGACTGCCTTCGGCTCAGGTCATGATC